CGGATCGCTGTAAGGGACCTCTGTGTGGCCAATCAGTGATCACATGCAAAGTAGTAAGCAAGATGTCACTTCTGACATCATTGCTTACTACGTGTGAAATCTGTGAATGATCACAGAGATCACATGGTACAAGGCTATTCACAACAGCCTTGTACCATGTGATAAGCTGTGACCAATCACAGCTCACACAGCATTTCTCAATGGCTGCAAGAATGCAGCCAGAGAGAAGGGGAAATGATTGCTTTTACAGCCTTTCTGGGTGTAAATACAATCAGTGTAAAAAGAAAAAAAAATCTTCATCACCGCCCACAAGTATTACAGTGTCGCTATGGTACTGCTAGGGTTACAGTATGTTAAAAAAAAAACATAAAAATAATAATATAAAAAAAAATAAAAATGTAAAAAAAGTTTGAAAAATTATTATATTCCTTGGTTTTAAACTAATTTGGGCTATTTATTTTTTTTATTAAAAAGATAACTGAAAACATTTTGGTTTTATAGATTTATAAAGAATGATTATTTTTTTTCAAAATGTTATAAGAAAAACACTTTTTTCAAAATTTTTGGACTTTTTCATTTATATTGCAAAAAAAATGAAAATCCCAGTGATGAATAAATACCACCAAAATAAAGTTTTATCTGTCTCGAAAAATGCTAAAAAATTCATAAGGGGTACTGTGTTGCATGACCGCGCAATTGTCATTCAAAGTGTGACAGCGCTGAAAGCTGAAAATTGGCCTGGACAGGAAGGAGGTAAAAGTGTTTGAACTTGAAGTGGTTAAGGGACTAAATTCTTAAAAAGGAACTAAATCATCCTATATTTTACAGCCAAAGAAGTGGCCAGCTAAGCCTCTGTTTGATCTGCAGTTGCCATGGTTCTGCACATGTGACTGGTTATGACACCAGCCATTTGAAGGTTTGACAGTTCATTTGGGAGTTAGGACTCGTTCACACCACACACGTGTATGAAAACTGATGGGAAAACTGGCAGTTTCATTTGCAGAGACATAAGTTTACATCAATTTCACATCAGCTTACATCAGTTTTCCTTCGTATTTTAGTGAGTTTTTATGCATGTTGACATCAGTTTTCATGCATGTCAGTTATGTGCGCACATAGAGAACAATTTTTTTTTTGTGCCCTTGCAGAACACATGAGAAAAACTTGGATTTGTTTCCTGTCTGTGCATCACAAGAGGCCAGTCACTTCACTGGGTATATTTAATTTAAATCATTTCAATCATGTAGAGAGATTGATCCCTGGATCCTAACACCAAAACAATATTATTGCATACCTAGGTGCCATGTCATTAAATGATTTTGAAGCAGCGATTTGTAGCAACTACAGAAGCATCTCTTAATTTGTATATTGCTAGAAAAATGTAATTTCAGTCTGTGAAAGGTCTGTATCACATTGATTTCAATTATTTGTTGCTCAGTTGCTGATTTAGGTGTCTGTTTATGACACAGAGAATAGCTGCGATTCAGAGGATCGCTGCTATTCTCTGGTCATTCACAGTTTATGACACTCAGGAGATTAGCGGAGAACATGTTCAGCCCTTCACTGGAGATCTGTGTTCTCCCTCCAGATTCTTCAGCCCAGAACTGGAGAATTGGAGGAACCGAAAACGAAGCAGAGATAATTTACCTCTGTTTAGTAAACTGATCTTTTACTGTAATCTCGTGAGATTATAGTAAAATCGGCCGATTTCCAGCGTTTGTAGACCGTTCTCTCTTCGTTTGGAGAACTGATCTACACCGCTTCATAAAAGGCATTCACAGGAGAACTGTGTTCTCCGAGAATTCCGGAGAACTGAGCAGCGATCACTTACTGCTGGTTCATAAACGGACACCTTACTTTTTTGAAGTGTTTGAGAATAGCAACTGACAACCAATTTCAGTAGTTACCCATATAAACCTATTCAGCTGCCAGCGAACTTGACACACCAGTTTCTGTACACCCCTGCTACACAGTAGCTGGCGAGTCCCAACCCCAAAGCAAGGGTCTCCAATCTACAACCAGAGGGCCACATACGGCCCGATACTAGATTTTAGCAGACTTTTAAAACTGTAAATACATCATGTATTTCCATGGTGCAGGCTAGCTGGCCGATATCCCCATTACACCAATGAGGATCCAGAACACATCATTCATTACTCTGGTGATGGCATCTGGCCCAATAGCAGCATGGAAACACATTATGCATATCCAGAGCAGCAGCACCCAGGGCCACGAAAGCATTCAGAAGAGGACCAGATCCACCTCTCATCCACCATCTAGACCTGTTCCAATTTTTGCCCTATGCCATACTGCTGCTGTTGTGAAGATTGTAAGGTAGGATAGAATAGTTGGACCTCTGATTTTAAGGGGGGATCTGATGTGCAGAGGGGCTTCTGATGTGAAACAAAGTCCCCATATGATGGGGGCTTCTGATGTGAAGGGGGAACTCTGATGTGATAGTGGCTTTGTCTCACAAGTATTTGTAAAATATACAATGCCGTCTTCATATTAAAAAGTCTGGAGACTGGAGCTTTGTCCCACGGGTATATGTAAAATATACGATGCTGTCTTCATATTAAAAAGTCTGGAGACTGGAGACCCCTTATTCTAAAGCCAGCAAATATCCCAATAGCAGCAGTAACGTCAAGGCCATCTTCTTAATTTTTAAATTTATATCTGCTGACTCAAGAATCAAATAAATAGCTATCACCCCTTTATGAAAATCCCAGTTAGGTGGCATAAATCCCCAACTGTCTGACATCTAAACAAGTAATAAATATAATTATCAAGATGGCGTTATAGCTAGAAAAACTTCCCATCCCAGAATTTCTGGGAGTTATGGGAATTTTGTCCTGCCAGGAGGCGGGACAAAATTCTCATAGGTTGGCAAAAATGCTCTTTATTCTGCAAAAGTATCTGGCATTTTAGCTAATATTGGTTTGTCACACTCAACCAGACTTGTTCTGTCTGTCTTGCTGAAGACTTTTTACCACTCATCCCTGTGATTTCCTCAGTTCTAATGAGTCTCAGAAACATTGCACAGCATTTATACTAATGTGCCACACCTTATTACAATCATAGCCATGTCATGAAAAGTATCAAGGCAAATGTTAATTTTCTAAGTACATGATGGGAGGAATGAAATTTTGTGAAACCTCCCTATGCTAATTTACATGAGCCAATTTAGAATAGGGTGGTTTCACAAGGCCACAGCCAAAATTTCAATATCACTAATAAGGAAGCATATTAAAAAGTACTGCTCAGCTGGCAAATTAGTGCCATCTTGGTTTGCTGTCTTTTTCAAACACAAACCAGAGTTTGCAGGCAATGGGGCTGTTTCAATAATGTATCCAGTGCAACCAGACAGCTGTACTGCCAGCTTGATCTCGCTATTCTCTGAGCACAGTGGGTAGGTCTTCTCTTTGCTAGCTAAGCAGCACATAGCAGTACTGCCTGTTGATCCAGATCTTAGTCTGGTAACCATTAGTACTGTTTCCTTGCAGGATTCCCAACAACAGTTTAAGTGTCGGTTTGATCCGCATCTAATCCGCATGACTTGTGAAATAACATTGCTTCCTATGGTGCCTGTTCACATATGTCTGGTGCACTGGCGGTGCAGATTCATTGTGATTTGAAAAAGAGTCATGTACGATTTCTGAGCAGTGCCTTTAGTTTCAGGTGCGGATTACAAGCTATTGACTTCTATGCGAACCGTTTCTAAACCGCGTATGTGTGAACAGGAAAAAATCCTGACCTAATCCTGTCCTGAACCTGATGTAAACTTGACATGACCCGCTGAATAATTACAGTGTCAATTACCTGTGAAACCTGAGCTTCAATTCGCTCTGCAGATGTGTGAATCAGCTCTTAGTCTTAGGCCCACAACAAACTGGTTATTATGATGCTGGTGACTGACCTTCCACTCTACTTAATGGGAACCACTCCCTCACAGACCAAAACACTGTAGAATATTCAGTAATTGTGAGGGAGCATAGATGAAGTGACATCTCACTGGTCCTGCCAATGAGGGAACAATGCTGAGGGAGAAGATGAGTGTACTTTAACCAGTTTCCGCCCACAATACATTTACTGTGGGTGAGTGGCATGAGCAAGCTGGATCATGTACATGTACAGTATGTCAGCCAGCCTGTTCCGGGTTAGGGGTCAAAAATGGGCCACCTCCGAGACTGTTGCATCCTCCGCACACAGTGGATTGCGGCTCCTGATACCCAATCGCTTTGAGTGGCTCAGGGATCATGTGATCACATAGCCATCACACGATCACAAAGTCAACAAAGCTGTTATGAATGAATGTCAGCTGTGCTTTCTATAGAGTGATGCTGTGATTGACACACAGCTATCACCTGGTACCTGGGCCAATCACAGCACCCTGTTATCATGTGATTAGCTGTAGCAAATCACAGATCACTAGTAATCACAGCTGTTAGAAATGTAACCCATTCATGACAGTTTAAAACTTTGCTGTTACAGTACAGTTATCATCATTGTAACAGCAGTCAAAGTGTACAAACAAATCCCTGATCACTCCCCAGAGAAGTACATTGTTACTAAGGTAACACTGAACTACTCTGATGAAAGTATGTAAAAAACATTTTAAAAAAGAGAAAAAATGCTAAAAAAAAAAGCTTTAAAACATTTAAAAATTGAATAAAAAAAGTTTAAAGTTTTATTTTTAGATTTCGACAAAAATTGTGACAAAAACAAATTTTATTGAATTTCTTCATTTTCAAAAAAATTGTGACAAAAAAATTACAGCTTCAAAGAATTCGCCATGTCTCTTAGTAAATACCTCAGGCTGTCTACTTTCCAAAAAGGGGTCATTTGGGGGATATATGTACTGTCCTGGCATTTTAAAGGATCAGAATTTATCAATTTTCAAATATATACATTTGGAAAATTGATAGTTTGTAGACACTATAACTTTCACATAAACCAATTAAGATACACTTATTGGGCTTTATTTTACCAAAGACATAGAGCAGAATCAGGGGCGGACTGACAACTCATGGGGCCCCCGGGCAATAGGGGATCATGGGGCCCCTGTGTCCTTGCCCAAACTCAAAAAAGCCTATGAAAAAGGTACCAGGGAAATCTCATGGGGCCCCCTACTGCCCCCGGGCCCTCGAGCAGTGCCCAAATTTCCAAATGGTCAGTCCGCCCCTGAGCAGAATACATTTTGGCCTAAATTTAGATTTTGTATAGGATATGTTTTATAGCACAAAGTAGAAAATATCATTTTTCCATCATTTTCAGTTTTTTTTCATTTATATAATAAAAAAGAAGTGTTGCATGACCACACAATTGCCATTTAAAGTAGTGGAGTGCTGAATAGCAAAAATGGTCTAGTCACAAAGGGGGTAAAACCTTCCGGAGGTCAAGTGGTTAAAGGTGAACCTCACAATTTATTGTTTTAATACATTTAAAGCAAATCATATAGAGACTGTAAAATTAGTGGTACTAAAGGCAAAATGTTAAAAAAAACATGCTTACAATGGTCAGTTTGTATTCATTTAGATATAAACCCTTATCCCAAATGGAAAAAAACATTTCTGTACCTGCTTAAAAAGTGTTAGCTGAATTTGGCTTAAATTTTCACCTATGTGAAGTCCATCTAAATCTGCTAGTAAATCTAAGACTATCCTCTCCAGATGGTGATGCTGTTCAAGGGTGTCTCCGTTGCTCCTCCTACGGAAAATAGAGGAGCCACCCATAAGACAGGAAGTATGTAAGTGGATGGATCACCAGGTGGAAATAAAATAAAAAAAATAACATAAAACTAATGCAGTCATCACATCTAAGGATTTTTAGGCTGAAATATAAATATTGTTTTTGGGTTAAGATGTGCTTAAGGTATTCTGTTACCAGTGAGTTGTCCTCCTCAACAGAATTGCTAGTGTTCACACTAGGCTGTTTTGCCAACGCTTGCCAAACGCCCCTATAGCGTTTGGCAAGCGTTGGTCCAGTGTTTGCGGAGCGTTTTTAACGCTCGGCAAATGCTCCGCAAACGCCGCATGCGCGGTTTAGCGGCGGTTGCTAGGCGTTTGCCGAGCGTTAATAACGCCCCACAAATGCCTATAATGCATTTGAGTGGTGTTACCGCTCCGCAAACACCCCGCAACCGCGTCGCAACCGCACCGCAAACGCCGGCCGGGCGTTTGCGGAGCCGCACCATAGACGAGAATAGGAGGCTTCAAAGCCTCCTGACTCGACCCAGAGGCGTCCGTTTTGCCGCGACGCAACGCGACGCGACGCAAACGCTCCTGTTAGAACAGCACCATGTGCTGTAATGTGCAGAATTGGCAGAGGCGTTTGGAAAGCGGTAAAAACGCTTCCCAAACGCCTCTCTGCTGCCTGCACACAAGGCTAGTGTGAACGTAGCCTTAGATGAGAACATCCCAATCTCAGCAGACTGTGTCATATTCAATTGCCTCTCAGCAGCCAGTCCCCCTACTGACACTGTGATGAGTTAGCTCTTCCCTAGCTCTGCACAGTTTCAGACAGTTGCTGGGCACCTACATCATAGCCATCTTTAAGTCTCTTATTCATTCTTTTTCTGTCACCAGGGGGATGGGTGACACCCTGTTCATCATTCTACTAAAAGGCACTAGAACCATGGAGACCTAACATATGCAGAGGATGAGTATATTTTATTCCTTTCTGGAATACCTTTTAAATGGTAAAAACAACATTCCAGGAGGGCTAAAACTGGTAGACCATTGAGCTGCCTTGGGTTCTCCTTCCTACTGAGTTAAATTTAGACTGACACTATTTGCATTAGCTGACCTCTGGGCTAAATTCTTCATCTGGGGGAGGACTAGGAATCACTCATGCAATTTTCCTGTGGCTGCCAGCTTTTATTAGAGCTCTGCATCAGTCAGCCAACTTTTTTTTTCCACCTGCTTTTATGCCACTCCCATGACTGGTTAGGCTTCCAAACTAGTCAGGTCCTAATGTAAGGCAGAAACAAAGTGACCCACCTGCATGCACACTAATGCTAACAATTCCATTACATTAACTGTAAACGATATAATCCTGACTAATCTCATTCACCATCTTCTTACCCACATGGAAGAAAAATATATTTGAAATATATTTTAAAAATATTGTTCCCAAATATATTGCCATACATTTGAAATGCTACAATTTTGGCCATATTCTATATATATATATATATATATATATATATATATATATATATATATATATATACTGCATGCTGAAATACGTTTTTATTGCAAAAATATATGAAAAATATTTTTAAAACTACATTTCAAATATAATGTATGTCTTTAAAAATATAAATCTACATTTTTGGAATGCATTTACGAATATATGTAAAAATGGCGCCTACTGCATGGAGTTTGCATGTTCTCCCTGTGCTTGCGTGGGTTTCCTCCGGGTGCTCCAGTTTCCTCCCACACTCCAAAGACATGCTGGTAGGTTAATTGGATCCTGTCTAAATTGGCCCTAATATGTGTATGTATGAATGTGAGTTAGGGACCTCAGATTGTACACCCCTTGGGTTAGGGACTGATGTGAATGTTCAATATATATATGTATAAAGCGCTGCGTAAATTGACAGCGCTATATAAGTGCTTGAAATAAATAATAAATAAATATATGTTAAAATGACTTTTTTATATGTTAAAAAACAATCTGAAGGATATATTTGAAAAATATATATTTTTAAAATATATTCTTCAAATTTTTTTTTAGATATAAAAAAGTCATTTTAACATATATTTTTACATATATTTGTAAATGCATCCCAAATATGTAGATTTGTGTTTTTAAAGACAGTATATTTGAAATGTATTTTTAAAAATATTTTTCATATATTTTGTAATAAAAATGCATTTCAACATGCAGTATACATATATAAATATATATATATATATATATATATATATATATATTGATTGAAATATATTGTAAAATATATTGAATATGGCCAAAATTGTAGCATTTCAAATATATGGCAATATATTTCGGAAGAATATTTTTCAAATATATTTCAAATATATTTTTCTTCTATATGGGTATTAACTGCTAAAACTCAACAATAAATAATTACAGTGACCTCCATGTGCAATACATTCATTGTTAGCCCCAGAAACCACGGCTATAACTATGTGAGAAACAGCCCCATACCAGAACCATCATAAAGCCCTTTCCGAATATAAGTCTCAAATCCAATGAAGCTGGTCATAGACAGATCAAAATTTGTCCAGTTCAGCAGGGATTGGGCGAATTTCAGTCCATGTGTGGCCATACCTGTTTGACAGAAGACAATCATTAAAGCTGGAAAACCTGGCTGCAGCTGCTAAACAGTGTACAGTATTTTGACAGTGGCGAGTCCCACTGTCAGATTATAATGTCCCAACAAGGGTGGGGGGGGGGGGTGGGCGTTAATGATTCCTTTAGCTCAGTGTTTCTCAACCTTTGTTGAGTCAAGGCACCCTTTAAAATGATGGATAATCTCAAGGCACCCTTTACAATTCTGCACAATCTCATGTAGCTCTCAAGGCACCCTATTCTAAAACATATAAAACTGTTCTATATACATCCAGTACACCCAACATTAGAGGTGATTTTTTCTTCCAAAGCAAATACACCTTTGCACACTGGTACCAACTAGTACTCCAGAGTGTCTCTCTCATTTTCTCTCCCTCACTCTGCTAATGTGACCTCAGTGTTGACAGGGAGGGGTAGTGGAGGGGTAAATAAAGATGATGTGTATGAACCCAATGTCCTCCTTATCAAGTGATGTCATTGGTTGTTAGGATGCAGGCAGCTAGAAGGTCATAAAAGTGCACAGTGAAAACCTGTGGCTTTGTGTACTAAAAAGTCAGGATTGATCCACTTGCTGGCTTGTGTACAATTTGTTGGCAGTTTGCTAAGGCAACCCTGAAGAAGCCTGAGGACCCTGGCTGAAAAAGGCTGCTCTATCCACCTCACTTGTGTGGATAGGGGAATCTGTTCAAATTTAGTTTTCCTTCAACCCATTGGCAGAACAAAAAAGAAAATATGAACCATCTATGGCCAACTTTAGTCTAGTGATACTGAATACTAATTGATTTCTTTGCAGTGTTACAGAGAGTCCCAAACTTCACATACAGGCATTGTATTTAAATGTATTGGCTGCATGTTATTACTACCAGCATATGTTATTGTGTAACCAGATATCTCTGAGCCTTTTCTGCTTCTGAGTACTAAAGCAGTCAATTGGTCTGTGAAGGATATACAGTAGTTATACCCTTGCCAACCATCCAGCCCTGTTAATTTGGGCAAATGACTTTCAGCACCAACAATCACATTGTCAGGAAACTAGTCCAGCTAATGGTAATTCTTCTGCAGCTCATTCTAATTCCCGTGCAGCTAATGTTAATTCCCATGTACCAGCACACAAACAAGCCCAGTCTAATATCCAGCATGCACTGACACGTAAGCGCATCTGCGTGCACGTCTTCCTGCATTGACGCCAAGCCAAGCTGCCTATTTAAAGGAGACTCTGCTGTGTACTAATAGCCGGATGTTCTTCAGCTTCCTGTGACCCATGTTCCCATGTTCTGTGCTTGTACTGACTGATCTTCAGTTGCTGACCCGGCTTGCTCCTGACCTTGCTCTGTGGATTCTGACCTCAGCTTGACTTAGACTACTCCTGCCTGATCTCCTGGTGCTGACCTCAGATTACCTCTGACTATTCTCTACCTGATCTCCTGGTGCTGACCTTGACTTGCTACTGGACCTCGCTCTGCTTTATAACCTAGTACTGACCCTGGCCTGCCTCCTGACCACGCTGCTGTATCACTGTGTTTGACCCTGGCTCACCTTGATACATCCCTGACTGTGGCAATCACCTGCCATCAAGCTATTGGCACCTGTGCTTCTTTGAGCCTTGTACCTCTGTCATCTCAGGGGTGCTCGAACCAGAGTCACAAGGGAAGCCCTCTCATCAACTTGGCCTTCAACCAAGGTATGTGACAAACACTAAGTGTCAATCTATCACAGTCAGCATTTGAACCTTAAGCCAACTATACTATTAGTTCCCCACTGACAGCTGAATGTCAAAAGAATTGTTGGAATTGTGCCCCCCCTCCTGAACCATACCAGGCTACATGCCCCCCAGAGCACATTGTCCCCATGTTGATGGGGACAAGGGCCTCTTCCCCACAACCCTGGCCAGTGGTTGTTGGGTTCTACATGCAGGGGACTTATCGGAATCTGGCAGCCCCCTTTAACAAGTGGGTCCCCAGATCCTGGCCTCC